TCCTTCTGGAATTTGTCTTTCCCTCTGGTCACCACTGACACATCCCCAGGCAGAATTCTCTCCTAGATATCCCCAAAACATCCATGTACTGTACCAACTAGTCAATATTAACGCCAGTTGTTCTAGCATCCGCATCTCCCACCAGTCACTTGATGCATTGTGCAATGAGTCACTCGTATTCCTTTACTGAATCTGTATTTTAGCTAGCAGCAAACATTAACGCTGAGTGGTTGATAATTAAGCCCAGCGAAGGAAATCAAATCAGTAACTTAAATCACAATTACTTGGTTTATATCTGTGTGGGTACACTACATCCATGCATAGACAGAGCGTATTCATTCTGTGGTCTGTTGCCTGTGAGGTGCTGTTGTTCCTTAATTGCCTCACATGCACAGACAGCGTGCGCTCACACTCCAAATGCTACCAGCATCATTAGTTCCTTTCACACTTCATTCCCCCATGCCAGGCATTCAGAGATTTCACAATCTGCATATCCCCCTTTTACGACATCACAGATCTCTTCTGCGGACCTTTGAGGGACTAACGAGCAAGATGTCACTAGTTTATTAATTAGCTGCTTATCAGCTGTACCGAACAGCTCCCTACTAGCTCAGATGCTCAGCTACAGCAATTAGACAACCCACTTTTCAGTCTTTTATAGCACTGCCTTAGACAGAAAGTTTCACTGTTCCTGAGACTATGGTACTTTGGTGATTTTAGACATCTCCTGAATGACTAATAGAGAAATCCTGCTTTCTATATTATTCATTGCAGCATTACAGCTCCCCGTTCTAGGTTTTGTCTCATGTACTCCACCATCAATATGTGGCATCACTGGCACCCCAGCATCCAGATGTTATCCGAAAGCTTCTTTATTTGCATCATTCAGAAGAACAGTCAAAAAGCATGTATTCACGCTCTCTGTGATTCAGAGTGCAAGTAAAGTGGGTAGTGTTACTTTTCACACTGCAATCCTTCTCAAATGAGAACAAAATCAAGCCAACAAACATATGCTGTCTCTGCTTTATGCAATGAAAGGCTTGCTTGTATGTCTGAACTCCCGCTTTTTATTAGCTACCAGTAGCTCACGTACTCACAGATTTCATCAATTAAGTATTTGACATGCAGAAACTTACAGGATACGAAAAACGGCATTTTTTTCAGCTTGACAATCAACCACAATTAATACTGTGCAGGAAGTACAACTAAAAGGGGGAAAAAAATCTCTTAAATCAGGCTTAGTTAGATACTTTACTTTCTAAAATATTTCTGTGAAATACCAAATGCATCTATGGCAAATGGCTCTCCAGGTCCCATAGCAAATCTACTGCTTGCTATCCTGTCTATCTATTGATACTGCAGAGCTATTCACTCAGGTCAAGATGTGGCTCCTTTCATCTCCACACAACCAAGCGCACAGACGTCAGAGAACATGCTGTTTTAAGCAGAGCCAACACAACTTCACCTTGACATTTGAAAGCAGTAAAACAAAATGTTTTTCCTTTCCCAAAAGGCAATGAGAAGCAACACAAGTGTCTAACAGACAGTTACATGCTGTACATGCTATGCAGACACTGGTGAGTCAGTCCTGAGCTTGCCTGCAGTATATGTATGTACAGACCCAGCTGACCAGATCCTGAGCCCCTGCTGCCTGTCTCCAAACATGCCTCCACAGCTGTAGGTCAGGAGAGGCCTGGGATGTGCACTTACGGGGGCCCTTGGTCTTGTCTGGATGACTCAAGTACCCAGGACTAAGGTCCACCACAGAGAACACTTACACCTGCAGACACTCATGGTCTGTATCAGTCACTGCCACTGTATCCCAAATAAAAAGTGAGCTAACCCTGTAAGACAGGGTACCTTTTTTTTGAAACAAATGCTAACAGTAAGTCATTGCAGAAGTATATGATGATTATGTTATATCCTTCCCTGTAGAGAAGAACAAAAAAATCTACTTATCGATCACCGTAAGAGAACTCAAACTGTGTGTTCAAAGGGGAGTTGAAGAACTTCTTCATCTTGGTTTTCTGACATGCAAGGTGCAGAATTGTCCCTCATGTTGCCTCATGCACAGACACATGCGTGCAAACCATATCTCTGGTAGCTGGTCCAGACTTATGACCCCACCAGCAGCCAGCCCTCAGACCTCACAGCCTCTCCAGTCACTGGCTTTGACCATCTGGTCCGTCAAGTAGCCAAACCTTAGATGTTCTGGTCTCTCCAGTATCTTAGATTTACGGCCACTCCATCACTTGGCTCCCATACCTCTTACCCTATTTGTCGGATAGCCTGTCTTGATTTTCGCTGGTGATTACACACTGATGTGCACACCCACATAATATGCACTCCAGTCTCTCCAGTCGCTGGCACCCTGAGCCCACGGCCCCTGTCATCTGTTGTCCTACTCCAGCTGCCAGCACGTAGACCTCCATGCTTACGTACATACACAGAGAAAGCCCTGCACCCAGGAAGAGTTAGAAATGGAGTTCAATGAGAAGACAGGACAAAGTGCACCAGTCAGGCACAGGGCATGGTCAGCCCCTGTTTACAGGTAACCAGCCTCTTTTATCCACTGATCCCTCCCTTTTCCCACTCATTTGCTTCCCCAGCCCACCTTGATCCCCCTTTCCCTGCCTTTGGTTCCTTCCCTAAACATCCCTTGATAAGCCTTTTTACAATCCCTGTACAATCCCAAGACGCTTTTCCCTGCACCCCATAAGAAGTCCCATACCTCCAGGCTGTATCCACCCTCAGTCTGCAAGGTGCTCCAGAAAGCCTCTCCAGTAGACTCACAGTGATGGATCTCACTCCCAGTCCACGTGGCTGATGCCCTCCTGGGATGCCCCAGGAGGGGCTGGATTGGAGGCTCGTTGCTCTGACTGGGTTGTTGGGGTTCCCCCAGCTGCCGCTGTGCCTCTTGGCTCCACGATGTGTGCTGAGGTGAGCCTTTAATCAGCTAACCCAACACAGAGCATTCATCAGCTTTAGGTATTTCACAATGCAGCTGCTAGTACTTTAGTTCCAGTATGTTACTCCTATAGTTTCAAAAGACTTTTGTGCTTAATGCACATGTAAATATTTTCTTTAGAAAACAGTTTATAGGGCTTATGGAGTATTTCAGACTGCTGAAGAACTTTTAAGATGTAAATACAAGTTTTATCTTGAGCTCGGTGCAGTTTTTTGCATTTGATTAGACAACAGTGAACACGAAGTTTGGATTCTTTTCATTGGGAGCAATGAAGAGGGGAAAGGAACCAAGAGCATCAGCTCTCAACAGGAAGAGCTTCCACAATTCAGTGAATTAAGGTTTTACAGGCATTTACGTCAGAAATGGTGCCAGAGCGTGCCAAATATCTGTTCAAAGTATTTCATGTGAATTAAACTGTTCCACAAGAAACCAGTGACTTTACTTGTCTTCACTTTGTAGTTTGGTAGAGTGATGGATATCTGTGAGGTTATTCTGCTTTTTTGTTTTCTGGGGTTGATTTTGAGCATGAGGAAAAGAAGGCTGCATAGATCATTCTCTTAAAAATTCCCTTATGCAAGACGTCTGCTGTTGTGGTTTAACTCCAGCTGGCAACTAAGCACCACGTAGCCATTTGCTCACCCCCTGTGGTGGGATGGGAGAGAGAATCAGAAGGGCAAAAGTGAGAAAACTCTTGTGCGTTGAGATAAAAAAGTTAAACAGGTAAAGCAAAAGCCGAGTACACAAGCAAAGCAAAAGAAGGAATTCATTCACAGCTTCCCATCGGCAGGCAGGTGTTCAGCTGTCTCCAGGAAAGCAGGGCTCCATCACGCGTAACGGTTACTTGGGAAGACAAATGCCATCACTCTGAACGTCTCCCCCTTCCTTCTTCTTCCCCCAGCTTTGTGCTGAGCGTGACATCACATGGTATGGAATATCCCTTTGGTCAGTCGGGGTCAGATGTCCCGGCTGTGTCCCCTCCCAGCTTCGTGTGCACCCCCAGCCTGCTTGCTGGTGGGGCGGTGCGAGAAGCAGAAAAGGCCTTGACGCTGCTTAAGCACTGCTCAGGAATAACAAAAACATCCCTGTGTTATCAACACTCTTTTCAGCACAAAGCCAAAACATAGCCCCGTACCAGGTACTGTGAAGATTAACTCTAAGCCAAAACCAGCACACCTATGGACAGTTTCCTTCACCATATTATACTTTCTAACACCTGCAGTAAAGGCCAGCCTTTGCACACTCCTCAGCTCACGCTCAAGGTGCTATACAGTGTTTTCAGATTAATGGGTATCAAATGAGATAGACACAAAGCTTTAGTGAATATTAAGCAAATGCTGTGAGAAGTCTTATTACACAGTGAAGACGAATCAGATGTTTAGGCAGGCTGCATCTCAGACCCAATCAATGTATTGGGGCTGGTCTAAAGCTGCACAGGCTTCAGGCACGTATGAATAGATAAACTTTTCTTTCTAAACATTTTTCCCCACAGAAAAGTTATTTTGCGTGCCTACTGGCACACACGTCCTGCTCAAAAGCTGTCTCTCAAGCCAGGTGAGTTTTCAGAGCATGTAACCACTCACTTGCAAGTACTCTACATAGACATACAGTTACATAGAATAACAGCCCTGTAAATCTCAGATCTCTAGCTGCAGGTATTTAAAGCTTCTGTGTCTTATTCCACACCCAAGTATTCAGGAGCAGAGCCAACAGTCCTCACAGTCCAAGCACTGATGCTTAACTAAGTGACAGACTTTCTGATAGATTTTCAGATTTTTTCCTTCTCAGGAAGGACTTGGTGGGAAGCTCCTCAAGTGCTGCATGTTCCAACCTCTGTCCTAGCATTTGCAAAACAAAAATTAATGCATAATTTCCAAGCGTGGCTCATCACTTTGTTATTTAATATAGTGGTGGTTATTTTTCTCTGTATCGTTCAAACTGCACTCATGTAATTCAGTGAACAGAGATTAATTTATTTTTCAGCATCACCTATTTGTAGTTCTTTTCACCCATGGCAGTGAATCTCACTAGTTCTCTAATATTCCTTGTCACCGTCCTCTGCTTCTTCTGGGGTGTCCTGCTCAAATGCTTTTCTGAATGGCAGAATAAAATCTGCTTGTCCAGGGGACAGGTCAGGAAATGTGGCATCAATATACTTTTGAAAAGCTTTTCTTGTTGCTTGTATTTCAGTTTCCAGGTGGTCCTTCCAATCTGTCATCTTTTCCAGTTTTTGCGTGAGAGTCTTTACCTGTTCTTCTGCTGCTTTCAGCATAACCATTACTTTTTCCAGCTCATCATGGTATAGTGTCTCTGCTTCTCTGAGCTGTTTTTCAATCTGAGTCTGATTCTCTTCTTGTGCGATAGTCATGGCAATATTAATCTCATGACATTTTTCTTTGTTTAATTGCTCTATATTCTTACGGTACAGTTCCTCAGCTAATATACTTTCTTCTTTGAGTTGCTCTAAGTGCTTGCTATTTAAAAAAAGAAAAAGAAGAAAAGATTTGTAGAGAACACCTGTTATTCAAGATTATTTAGAAAACTATTTGAATTATTAAAGATTATTTATAAAACATTTTAAGTCTATTCAGGTTCTTGTAAAATCTCTCTTATTCAAATATAAATATACATGAAATCAGAACTTGATGGAGGACCTCTGAAACAAAGTAGGGTCAAAGAAGGCCACTGATGATGCAGAGAAAGGCAGCTGCAGAAGATTCAATTTCTGCATATGTTGCATCCAGTGATAATTTAATGATGATTGCTTTCAAATGAAAAATATAAAAGATTTCTATTTCACTCTTCATTTAGGTCTCTCTTTGAGCTAGCACTTCAGTACACACTGGTTTTCAAATAGACTTTGAACAATTCTGCCCCCAAGTAAAAACACTGTCTTGAAGTGAAATGTAAGAACTGGTTTCTAGACTACAAATTCACCTGTGATTTTGTTTAAGTGGTACTAAGAACATCTTTGTGCTAGCATATCAGTAATAAAACATATAATTTATGTTATATAGTCAAAACATTATGGGTGCTATTCACCACAGCTGGCTCAGGGACACTTAAATAATAGCGCACCAGGCATCCATTAAGGTTACCAAGGCAAAGACTTCAACGCAGAAAAAACAATTTCTGCCCTCTCTTATTGCTTCCTCCACTTTGCTGGAGATATTTTTGCAGAACTCTGCTAACACGAGAAGTTAAGGAGACCAGCTAAGTTTATGCGGAATGTGATTTATCGTTGTGAGAAAGGGCATGTTTTAAAAGTGAAAATGAAAGTATTAAATAATGAATCAAAACTTCAGTGTGACTCTGTTCAGGAAAAAAAAAAAAAGCATGTTACAAAGGAACACACCTGAACTGATCTTTTCTTTGTGAAAGTGTAGTGTTATTCTCTTGTCCATGCTGTCAAAAAGTGAAATGTATTCTACTCTTAAGTGAGAGGGGTATGTTATTATTTTGACATCAAACCTGTTTAATTCACTGTGCTTAATCTATACAGGTAGAATCTCCTGCACCCTGTAGATCTCCATATGAACACATCTTTTTCGGTTTTGCATAGATGCCATTAACGGCACAACAGGCCCCCAAGATCTTTATTTCTGATAACTCCAAATCAGCCATAAAAAGCAAAACTTTCAGATCCTTGGTTAGATTTGTGATACTTGCTTTTAGGAACAAAATATGTTTTATTTCTACATGGACTATCCACAAGAGAGAGTGAGCCTGCAGCTCTTGCTGGTCACTTAACATTTCCAAATACGTTTTTTAATAAAGGGTCTACCGATCTTTTCCTAAGACCCGCACCTGAGCAACGGTAATGCAATTCTGCTCATTTTCTTTCGCAGAGCACGTTTGCCAGCCAAGTCAGGGGAAACAGAATCACAGAATCACACTAAGAGCACCTGTGCTGCCTGGCTGCTTCCTCCAGGGCTGCCTCCCTCTCCTGTTTCCTGGCTTCGGACACCGCTTGCGTCTTCTCCTGGGCACACTCCATGAGGACATGCTGAAGTCTGTGGGCCATGTGCTGCTCTGCAGCTTCAGCCTCTCTCTTCCGCTCATCCTCCATGTACCGCTGCATCTCTGCCTTCGCCTTCCTCACCTCTTCCTTAAGCAAAGTTACAAGTAGATGTAAGTAGCGACAACAACTTACTGTTCAGTTGTCTAATTTAAACAGACCCCAGCAAAGCCCAGCAGAACGGACTTCAGGAAAATATTACAGGGCAATTACAGTGACTTACTGTGGCATCATTCCACATCATCTATGTTTTCTATGTAATGTACAAAAAGTTCCCTGATACATTTTCTTCACAAGCCCACATGGCCAGTGGCATGTGAGATGGAGAAGAACCCTGGTCCTTGGTATGCTTGTCAGCAAGATATTGCTCAGGCTGATAAATAAAGGTATGACAACACTAATATTAGGTGGTCTGGATGGACATAGATATATCTGGAATCTCAGACAACTCAATACATACCAATATACCTCTTGTTACCATTATAGGCCATGCCAAACTTGTACCAAGCCTGACCATCCACGAAAGCAATCCAACCCACTTAACACGCTGCCCAGTGATCTGTGCTGCTTTGCCACTGTTAACGTTTTTTTCCAAGACTCTTGACAAGTGCATCATCTGTGGCAGTGGCAAGAAAATCTTGAGGAAAGCTCTGGCTGCTTAAATCTTGGTGGGCTTTCTAATGCAGGATGAGCAGTTACATGAGGTTTATCCTAAACCTTTCGCACACCCAACTATAAGGTCTGTATGTGGTAGATTTTCGTCGATACTGGTTGCTTGTCTACCGCTGATGAGTGGAGTGAGAAATAATAGGACCTGCCTACAAGCAGCCTAACTAAAGCCATTTGACCATTACTGGTGGTGGAACAGCCTCGTCACCATTGCTGTAAAACGCCATTCCTGAGGCTGCCAGCTAAAAGCAGTTGTCTTTGGCCTATCCCACACATAAGAACAGTTCAATCACTTCTATTCAGTGAGACATCTCATTGGCTGCCACCGTTTGCTTAGACAGACACTGAGTAAATTTTCTTCCACCACTTCTCCAATCTAGCTGCCAGTGAGCAGTTAGCTGACTGTTAAGACACCTCTTACAATGAACTGCAAGAAACACAAACCACTAAATCTAAACTATCTTGCAATTACTTTAGTTACATCCACCCAAGAGCGCTGAGTGATGGGGAGCTGGCCAAGCCACTCTCCATCATCTATCAACAGTCCTGGCTAACAGGAGAGGTCCCAGATGACTGGTGATTCGCCAATGTAACACCCATCTACAAGAAGGGCCGGAAGGAGGATCCTGGGAACTACAGGCCTGTCAGCCTGACATTGGTGCTGGGCAAGATTACGGTGCAGCTCATCCTGAGTGCGCTCACTGGGCATGTGAAGGACCACCAGGGGATCAGGCGCAGCCAGCATGGGTTCATGAAAGGCAGGTCCTGCTTGACCAACCTGATCTCCTTCTGTGACCAGGTGACCCAACTAGTGGATGAGGGAAAGGCTGTGTATGTTATCTACCTGGACTTCAGTAAGGCCTTTGACACTGTTGCCCACAGCATCCTTCTGGAGAAACTAGCTGCCCATGGTTTGGGTGGGTGTACTCTTCACTGGATAAAGAACTGGCTGAATGGCCAAGCCCAGAGAGTGGTGGTGAAAGGAGTTAAATCCAGCTGGTGGCCGGTCACAAGTGCTGTTCCCCAGGGCTCAGTTTTGGGTCCGGCCTTGTTTAACATCTTTATCAATGATCTGGATGAGGGGATCGAGTGCTCCCTCAGGAATTTTGCAGATGACACCAAGCTGGGTGGGAGTGTCAATCTGCTTGAGAGTAAGAAGGCTCTGCAGAGTGATCTAGACAGACTGGATCGATGGGCTGAGGCCAACTGTATGAGTTTCAAGAAGGCCAAATGCCGGGTCTTGCACTTGGGTCACAACAACCCCATGCAACACTACAGGCTTAGGAAGGAGTGGCTGGAGTGCTGCCCAGGGGAAAAGGACCTTGGGGTGCTGAGCCAGCAGTGTGCCCAGGTGGCCAAGAAGGCCAACGGCATCCTGGCTTGTATCAGGAATAGTGTGGCCAGGAGGAGTAGGGACATGATCGTGTCCCTGTGCTCAACACTGGTGAGGCTGTACCTCGAGTACTGTGTTCGGTTTTTGGCACCTCACTAGAAGAAAGGCTTTGAGTTGCTGGATAGTGTCCAGAGGTCGGCAGTGGGGCTGGTGAGGGGTTTAGAGAACAAGTCTTATGAGGGGTGGCTGAGGGAACTGGGGTTGTTCAGTCTGGAGAAGAGTGGTCAGGCATTGGAACAGGCTGCCCAGGGAGGTGGTGGAGTCCCCATCCTTGGAGGTGTTCAAAAAAGGTGTAGCTGTGGCACTTCGGGATATGGTTTAGTAGGAATGGTAGTGTTCGGTGGATGGTTGGCCTTGATGATCTTAGAGGTCTTTTCCAAGCTATGATTCTCTGATTCTATACATCTGCCTCTTCTTTTGTTTCAGCTGCAGAATTCTGTACCTGCTGCCTAGTCCTTGTTCACTGAAGCCAATGTTATCAGGACAAATCGTACATGTTCAAAGCCTGAGCACTCAGGTCTAACAAAGCTATGTAATAGTCTTATGGCAAGTAATTGAGTGGTTAGACATGAGGCACTAAGCTTCTGCCAACTATTGTTGGCAGATGCTATGACAGCAAAAGACAGAGCTCACTTGGAAAATGGCTCCAAAAAATGGATTTAATTCATCCAGAAACTTAAGACCACTGTAAACCTCCTTGCGTTTGCTCCTGCAATGCCAAGCACATTGCTTTGACTGCTTGCAGTATAAACAGATAGCTATTTAGAAACTTGTATAAAATAAAATACCAAAGCAAAACACTCCAGCAATTCTCTGTGTGCCTTTCATCTGCCAGTGGGAGGCTGCAAGACTAAGGATGACAGGTGTTAGACAGACTGCGTAGTGCCTGACTGAGAAGTGCTTGGATGCTCTAGCGGTAAAAAGCCCTGTGAAGCGGTCCAGAAGGCAGGAAGGCTCAGATCCAGCAAGCAGTTGCCTTCCTTTCCCTTAGCATATCTCTCTGTCTTTTCTCAGATATCCAAACAGTCACATACAGTATGTGCTAAGCATATATAGAAATTCAAAGCTACAGTTGGTGTGTTTCATTTAGGAATATACATATGCTGGCAGTTTTCCTTCTCCTCCACCCCGGTTAGGTTCAGTAAATCAGTTAAATACTTTTCTAGCTTTGATGGTCATAAAACTTCAGGACAGATTTAAAGTTAAGCCTGTATTTAACTGCTCTTAAGAAATGCACCTAATCAGGTTCAGTGGTTGGCTGAATCAAGGCCTGACAAGGAACTTTCAACAAAGTCCCCAAACTTAATTCAACAACAACAACAACAAAAGTTAAATGTGCTGAAAGTGAATTAAAAGTCCAGCTAGCTCAAGCTCACATCTCATCTAGCACAAAGCCAGTCATCTTTCAGGCCAAGTACTTCTGGCACTAGAGTTAAAATCTCAGATGAATGAAGGTCCTGGTTATGGCAAGTACTTAAAAAAAAAACCAATTTGGTTTTTACATAGAATAACATTCTTGGTTGCCAAACACATGGTTCTATCATTCTGGCTATTTCCACAGTAATGAAAGCAAACTGGTTCATACCTTTAATTCTGTTTGAAGTTTTTGTTTAAGGTCTTCTACAAATGCACGATGGTTAGCATCTGCCTCTTTGAGAGCTTTATCCACTGCATCTTCCCTGAGCATTTCAGCCTTTAAAACAAGTTATTATTTAAGTATAGCAGCTCACATTCTATTAATACCCTATTAAGATGAAGCAGAGGTTACATAATCAATAGATCTGTATTTTCTATTTAAGAAATCAGAGCAGGTTAAGTTTAAAACTAGATGGCAAAATACATTTTGGCCTGTTTGGCAATGTTATTGCAGTGATTCCTGTTAAAATGTGGCCACACAATAGCACTGAGCCACCCTGGTGTAACCACTGTAATACGTGTAACATAAAGGGCAGTTTCAGAATCTTACATAGCACTATGGGGAACTGCTTTAACAACTGATAACTTCTGTATGCTTTAGAGGACACTTTCAGACCAGATGTAAAGTTTGTTATTAATTCCAAGTATGCCATGTTGTGACCAGAACTGGAGAAATACATGCACACAGAGATCTGTAAACAAAGGATGAGCTGAAATTAATAACAGCTCTATAGCAGTGACCTCAAAGTTCTTTATTAACTGTCTTAATGCTATAGCAATTATTCCAAAGAATAACCATCGTTTAAATGACAGGAGCGTAATTTAATTTACCTGAGACCAAAGTTCAGCTTTCATTTTTTCAATGTGCTCTTGTGTCTCTGCCTCCTTCTTTTTATGTTGTTCTTGTTGAATGTCTGCTCCGATCTCTGCACAATCAACACAAGCAGTTCACGCACAGCAAACAACCACAGTGCAGAAACCTGTACCCCTGTCCTGACGCCTTTCCTTGGCTCCACAGCTGAATTAAAAATCAAAAGGCTAAAAACCACGCACCCTCATTTCATATACAGGAAAATACAATCATTATTGCTTGTGCAGTTCCGTGAATGTAATAGGAAGGTGCTGAACGCAACTCTCACCTTGTAGGCAAGGCTGCACAACAGGAGAGCATCATGGGTGGCCCTCCTGACTCCGTATCGTGATGGTCATCCACACAGCACCAGCAGTAGGTCAGTCCTCAGCTTTCTTGGGAATGATTTACCTGGTTCTGGCTGTGATCAGACCTCGTGGCAGCACGGGAAATGGCTTTGCTCTCTGTAGACACCACTGGCGAGACAGTGCCCTCTGTGGCTCCCTGTGCCCTCATGGTCTTCCAAGGCTTTCAGTGAGGTCTCTTGCCGAGACACTCTCAGATGCCTTCATGTCACTTTAGGGGCACACAATAAATATTCTCAGGAGAGCAGGATATGGCAGAAAATCCCCCCTGTTTGGAACAGAGCATGCGTATACAGAGCAATCCCCCTGTCTGTAGGGCTGCTGCGTCTGCCCTGGGCCCAAGGAAGGCCAAGCGCAGTGCTGCAGGAGCACAGCTCACCCCTCCTAGCAAGGGGGAGCGAAGCAGCGTGGAGGTGAGCCACCCCGCTTCACGGGGCCTAGGCCAGGGTCGTTGCCTTTAGCAACGTGGATGGGGTCCAAGTAAAATGCGAGCATCACCATCTCCTCCTGTGGACATGCTGTGAAAAAAAATAGGTAACCCTGCTAACTCATCTGAGACACTGGTCTTCAGCACCAAGGATTGCCCAGAAGGAGAGAAGCCAATGCAGAGGTAGGTGGATAAAGATGTCTTTCTGCAACTCAAAACTCCCCCCTGCCCCATGCAAAAGTGAGATTTCAGATCCTCCTCCTCCACCTTTCCTACTCAGTACCAAGCCTGGACATTGCTTTGGATCCCATTCTCCCTGCTCAGCAGGGCCAAAAAGTCACATTTTGCTAGGTTGTTAGGAAAATGAAAAAGGAATAGAGCTACAGGAGATCTAGCTTTCACACAGTCACTGGAGGATTAAGTCTCCGTCTTTCACTCCAGACGTCTTCCCCACTCCACATGGGTGGGCAGTCCTCTCATGGGGCTAACACTGAGTACATGGAAAACAGTGGCAGGATGGGACGAAGGGGTCAACTGACCTAAATCAGCAAAACAGAAGTCCAACAGTGCACAAATCTTAGCAACAACCATGTTGTGCTCTGACTGCATAGCTTCTCCCCAGTCCATTATATTAAGCAGTAAAGAGAAAATAATTTTAAGAGACTTTCTGTGGCCTTCTGGATCTGCTTTACGCTGTGTGTGTCAATGCAGGGCTGAAACCTCGTGTTCTGAGACACACATGGCACTCACCCTGCTGCCAGGGCTCTCAGTACACTGATAATCCCAAGCACACTCCTCTTCACATTCCAAGTTATTTAAAGTGCACAACATGATTTCCACAAAACTTTACACAGCTGATCAGGAACCCCTATGACAATTAGGAGTAGCACATAGAGATACTTCAGATTCTTGCTAGATCCTCAAACATATGAGTGCTACCACACACTTTCCTTCATCGTTGAGGCTATGGCTGTGGTATGTCAAAAAAAATCAGACCTCGAGAGGCTCTATAGAGCCTCAGTCTGAGGTCAGCAGCCAGAACCAGGTATAAGAAGGTAGGATTCAGGATAAAACATCCCAGCTGTGTCCTGTTGAAGGATGAGGGGATGATCTTTGCAAATGTTAAATCAGGCACAGTTACTCCCAAACTACTTGAGCCTTAGAAAACATTTGCTAACGGTCTTGCAGCCAATTCTTCTTTGCACTTCATTATGCCCAAATCTGAATGCCTTCATGCACCTCAGGATGGCTGACCCTGTGTTGCCCCCACCCTGCCCCCCCTCCTCCCAAATTTGGTGGATTTATTATATTCAGAAAGTAAATGCAGTTCTTTCTTACCAACATGTGAATTGCCTTCATGACCGTCAAGATCAGATGGATACAACAGCTCTTGGAGCTTTCCTAAATCTCAGATTGCGAGGAAATGATTTCAGAAACAAACTTACCCAGTATATCGCGATGCGTGTAATACCGTGTTCTGAAAGGCTTGTACTCCCGAATCTGATCAAAAGTAGCGTTGGAAGGTGGTGGTGGTATTATTTTTGAACACACAGCACAATAAACAAAGGAGTCTAAATCTGGACTTCTAATCATTGTGGTACACTAGTATTTTCCTGTAATAGTTACCAAAATGTCAGAACTCTATTCCTGATGGATCTCTTGCTCACAGGCAGAACGCTTGTTGTTGCTACAGAAAACACGCAAGCTGGTGAAGAGAGAAGAATCATTGACCATTACTTTTTACCACATTAGCCTTCAGATTAGGATTCACACATGCTGACAACTCAGCAGCAGCTGCAGGCAGATGATGAGGGAGGGTGGTAGGAAGCAACCCGTCCAGCCTTCATACAGTTCCCTACATAGCAACTGTTACCAGGCAGGGCTGGCTTTGCTCACAAAAACTAACTTTCCCTGGTAACGGTTAAGAGGTCTCACAGCAGGCTTTGCCTTTTTAATGCCTTTTTTCGTTGTTGAATGTCAACAATTCCTACTCAAACCACGTAGTCTAAGGAGATTTTAGGAGCAGTACAATAGCTACTGTTTCAGATATTTGAATCATAGCATTTTGCTACTGTTCTTGGTAAAGATGTAAAAGTCTGGCGAAAACCTGAACAAGCCCTGGAAATCATTCTGACTTACGTTTCCTGTCAAGCCAGCTATCATCCCTTGTAGATAATTATTACTATATTGAAGATGAGATTCAGAAAAATGGAACAAAAGAAATTGTATTGCTGCTGTTTGCTCTCCCTCCAGATGCATAAGGGGAGCGGTCCTTTCAGAGCTGAGCGAACAAATTTTGTTACCGATGTTGTGTTTGGGTGGGGTTTTTTTCCCTTTAATCTGTATACACACATCGTTTTTATGTCTGTAAATCAGATACTTAAACCAGCAAATGCCAGTATTGATACTATAACACCTATTAATTTACTACATTCTTCTCTGTATTTACAATGTTCTATCTCCTTTTTTATATATAATTTTTGTAGCATTAAAAGAGTTACCTGCACAGCAGCTACCACAAATAAACACAGAGAAGCTCCTTAAAAATAAAGACAAGTCCAAATACTCGTTCTTCCTTCAGCCTGGGCAGTTCTAAACTGACCTGGTTAACAGGACTTTACTCCATGCAACAGGCAAGAGGCCCCATCTCAGACTTTTCTATGAAGTGCCACTGGCATGTGCATCGCCCAGACCCCGCTCAGGTCAGTCCCACACCCTTATCTTACACCCCCCCCACACACACCCTGCTTCCTTTCCCCCCAGTAACTTCCAGATCCATACTCACTTCACGAAAGATAATTCAAGATTTTGAGAACCCAAATCCTGCATTACTTGAAAATGAGAGACTGGGCTTTCTCAGTTCAAATCACCTGCAGGCATAAGGATCAAAGTGTGTATTTTAAAAGCCTGCAGAAAAAGAGGATAAAATGTTTACTGTAGCACTGGTTTGGGAATAATTTAGTCAAATTCACGCAAACATACAAGACTCATGCATTTTAATGAACTGAAGAAAGCTAAAATCCTGAGTGACCCTTTTTAAAAGAAGAGATTAATTCTACAGGTCCATCACGCCCTATCAAACACAACATATTCCACAGGATATGCGCAGTATGTGACAGTTCTGAATATCTAATCAGTTCACTTGGAAATTCCTTCACTAATCAAAAGGCAAGTAGTTTCCTCATCTGTAAGATTTTGGATTGCTGTTTTGAGGCAGCTAGGCTCACAGAAGGGAATATGCTTTTAAAGGCTGTAAAAATGCTATTTTTTTATAGTTTCATCAAAGGTAGAGCTCACTTCACTTCTCAGGAAGGAGGTAACCAAAGCAACGCCCAGCTGAATTTAGGATACAGGTAACTACAAAACATGGATAGGAGGAAAATCACAGGTTCAAAATGAAGGGTTTAGAAGGAGATGCAGAGAAATCCCACCGAGCAAAGGCTGTCCAGCAAGGCAGTCCATCACCTTTTTTATCTTCCGTAACAAAATCTTCTGATAACCAAACCCAAAGCATTCCCAGAGCGGCAAAGTAGATGTCCTTCACATGTTCTTGCTTCTTTGGTCTGACAGAAGCCACCTTGGCCAGAAGGGAGTTAACAAAGAGGTCTCAGTTTCTTCGGAGCCCTTGATGGGGCTGCAGATATGAGGAGCGGAGTTCAAATGCCACCAGAACATTCATAAGGGCACGGCCTGGCATGCGCCCTCCCACCAGGTGTTCTGGAGTTTGGTTAATGGGATACCGCCTAGGAAATGACAGGCGCACAGACGTAGCTGGAGACGCTCACAGGAGAAGGCCTCAGCGCTGGAACAGGGACGTACCCACCTGTACGGTTTGCTTGAGGTAAAGGCTCGCAGGCGACCAGCTCATGTGCTAAGGAAACGCCGCTACGCCCACCCGCCCTCCAGCCACACTCGCAGCGGCACCAACCAGCACCCTGCCGAGGGCCACCTCCAACCCACGCGCAGGGCTGCGCGGCAAGACCGGGCTTGTTCAGGTTGATGCATTCTTTTTTCTGTAAGCTCCTGTTGATTTTAGACTTTCCATTCCTTATTTTGAGCTCAGTAACCTACAATAAATTAATGTTATGTAATGTTTTGCAATACAGAGAAATTTAATTTTTGAATGCAGCTTAAATAATCTAGTCCTGCTGACTAATCAACAACAGCCCACAAGCTCTGGCTAACCTGGAGCGACTGGCAAGCTGATACTGGTATGTTCACTGATCCGCTGTCTCACGCCAAACAGGAGAAGCAAGGGCTGAGTTCTTCCTGCCTTTCTCCTGGGAGAAGCACTCGCTTCACCTTCTCCCCTATCTAGCTACTGATTTTTTGGTTTTTTTTCCATTTGTAAGGAAGAGTGTATTAGCATCCAAAGAATATTTTGGCCAGTATTTTAAAGTCCTTTATTAAATAAAACCCTTCAGTGACTACTTTATGAGATCTTTCTTGCCTTAAAATTATTTTACTTGCACCACTGTTATCAACTTTCAACAGACCAAGAGATCAACTTTTTCTTTTCACACACAACACATTATGACTTCCGTTTAAAAAAATAAGAGACAAACGTGTGTCTTCACTTAGTCAAAGCAAAGAGAGAAGTAAGCTGAACTGTCATTTAAATTTCTAAGGCTTGTACCAGTCTCAGCTGCATGTCCAAGTGAACTGTATATCTTCTGACATACTGTGGAGGTCGCAGACAACAATTCTTAAAATCACTTTTATGTTTGTATATAGCTTAATTGAAATTTCTTTGTACAGGCACAGCATTTTATAAAGCCGCTTAAATTGGATTAAATAGCAAGAGAGACATTTATCCATTACATTAACGGACAGGGAAAAAAATAGTAGTTGCCTTGAAAAGTTCTGCAACTGATTTGCTGATTTCCTTCCTTACGTTGTCAGTCCCACTTGGAAGTTTTCCTTCTCATGTACCTGGACCCCTCACTGTCGATTGCTTCATAAAGGTCTTTTTTATTCTCTACTGTTGCATGCAAATAACCAAGGTAGGCCACACAGAGGCTAATTTTTATCAG